TAGAGACATTTTCCGAGAAAAATATTCTGTTGAACAAGCCGTGAAATACTGTATGGAAACTTGAAAGCTCATAATGTGATTGTGAAATATTATTAATAAATGCAACTGAATGTATTAAAATCAGACATAATTGCATAACTATTATTTCAGTGCTTCTAGGTGGTCTTATTGCGTATTTTATTACAAGAGTTTTATATTGCTTCAGGATGGCAGTAACGTAGACTTCAGTGGCCTTGAGGAAGAGTTGAAGACAATGTTTGTTGGTCAAACTCCTTTGGTGCTGGAGCTTGCTCCTGAACACAGCGTAAGAATTATTAAGTTTGTTTTATTAAAACACATCGGTAATCATTTGTATATGAGGACATCATTATAATTTAAACACATCGTATGTTGCTGAAGCATTGCCATAGAGGAATTTTGTCTTGTTTTTCAGTATATGTTGAAATACCTGCTCCCTGAGCGAGAAAACATTGTTATGCATAAAATGACGCTTAGATATTTCAGTTAGATTGCAATAGTTAACGTAATTACATTACATCAGGGGTTAATAATCTCATTATTAACCCCTGATTACATGGCAACAAGTGAAAGACTATTAGTATTACACATACATATTGTCAGAAGTCTATCAATATTGATCGACTCCTGATATTGTGTTATCGAAATATAAATGCTGAATGTCTGAATCGTCGTGCGTACTTTCTCAGGTGATGGACATCCATAGTGAGGATCAACAGCTGTTTACCGACGTGCCAGCAGATCTGGAAGCAGCGAAGAAGCTGCTGACGGGTTCAAGGTCAATCTTACTCGACCTCTCGCCCGTTGACCTTGGTCTGCTCAACCTCACCGTAGCAGCTGATCAGGCCTTCCTCGCTGAAATGCAGATAGTGACCGAGTTTGGGAGAGCGGTAAGGCCACAATTAAAAAAATCTTTGTTTGCCCTCACCCGACCCAGGCTGAAAAGTTTTTCAGGTAGGCTTTTTTTGAGGGGGGTCTTTTTACAAATTCAGCGTGGTGTCTACATGCTCAGGTGTGCTTGTGTGGAGATACCTTTTATGTTGAATGTTTATTTTGCTTGGTACGTAACATATAATGTATTGCCTACAGATTTATATAATGTACAGTGATACAATTTGTAAAAAAAAAAGAATGGGAAAGATCAATAAAAAATTTTTAGTCGGCCCCTTTTCGGCGGGTCGGTCGGGTGAGGGCAAACAAATAATATTTTTATTATGGCCCAAGTTAGCAGCAGTAGGGAAGCATCACCCGAGCATTTTTTTGCAAGTGTCCTTGGTTGCACTGTGTGGAAATTCTGTCCAGGCACACCGACGTGTAGCGAATTCCATGTACCTCAAAATCTGTGTTCCTAAAATGTTTTTGGCAATCTGCCTGAACAGAGGTACATAGTAGGTGAAGCCTAAGCGATTGTGTTTAGACTTGCTTCCGTG